GGAGAAGGCTGGTGCTGCCAGTAAAGCCCGATGAGGCAGGGCCCTGGCCTCGGCGGCAAAGCCAGGAAAGCTAGGGGAGGTCCCTCCGCCCAGGGGCCCAGAGCTGGGGCAGTTCAGGCTCCCACTCAGCCAGCACTGAGGGCAGGTGGTGGCTCCTCCCAGCCCCGCCTCCTTGTATGTGACACGGGAGGGGTAACCGGCTCCGCCCCAGGGTCTAGCACCCAGCGCAGCTCCAGCCCAGAGAGGGACGAGACTGGGCTGGGGCGGCACCTCGTCCCGGGTGTGGGGCACGGGCCCGAGCCTCCACGGTGGGCCCAGTGATCTTGCTCTCAAACCCCCCATGACTCCCCTGCTCTGAGGCTGTCCCCCCAACCCCCACCGCCCACAGGGCCCGAGAGCGCTGGAGCTGCAGAGCCGCCACTCCAGCCGCGGCCACCCACCCGAGGGGCTCACCAGCTCATGCTGTTCCTGCACCTGGGCCTCCCTGTCCCTGCGCCTCTGGTCCCCCTGCTTCAGCTCCGCCACCACAGCCTCGCACCTCTCTGCCAGGGCCTTCTTGTCTTCAATCAGCTGTGGCGGGTCAAGGGCCGGGGCTCAGGTGGCTGCCCTGAGATGGGGCCCTGCCCCTGTGACCACTGACCTCCCCTCCCCTCCCGTCCCGGGCTCCCCTGGGGCCGAGACTGCAGGAGCGAGCGCTTGTGGACAAGGGGCGTGGCCGGGGGACGTGGCCTCAGGGAGAGCACCCACCCACTGACGCCCTGGGCTGGCCCGTCAAGCAGCTCCCACACGGAAGATGCTGCGGTTTCTACACAAGGGAGCAGCAGGCCTGCCAGGAAGCCCCGTGGGTCTAGAAGTGTCCGTGCAGCCCAAGCCAGTCTGGAACCCAACGACCCCCTGGGCCCAGCAGGTCCCGGCCCCTCTTCCCCGGTGCCCGGCTGCCTAGGCGGTGGCACCTGGTCAATGAAGGACAGATGCCGCTGGATGGTGGCCTCGTAGTGGTCCCTCTGCTGCCGCAGCTGCCGGCCCAGCTCCTTCTCAGTCTCCTTGACCCGCCTGACGGTGAGGTCCCGCTGCTGCACCTGTGGGGGTGGGGGGAGGAGAGGTGGGACACTGGGGACCAGGGGCAAAGCAGTAATGGCCCTGCAGCGTGTGTGAGGATTTGCCAGGGTGGTGACGCGGCGACGGCCCAGGACGGGGACAGGGATGGGGACGGGACGGGGAACCGGCGGGACATTACCAGCGCTTTCTGCAGCAGCCCCACTGCCTGCTTCTTCTCTTCCACCTCCAGCTTCAGCCGCATCACAGACGAGCTCACCGTGGACGTGGGCTCCAGGTGCCCCTCGTCCGGCACCAGCCCCTGGGAAGGCGGTGTGAGTCAGGTGACGGCCAGGCAGGTGATGACCTGGCGCCCTCCCCGGGGACCCTCCGCACCTGAGGGGCTGAGGCCGGCCGGTCCTGGCCCGACTTCTCCATCTCGTGCAGAAAGCTCATGATACTCTGCAGCTTGGCCTCTGAGAGCAGAGCCCCGTCTTCGGGGGGACTGGCACACGTGCCCAGCCTCCCAAACCTCTCCAGGTTGTCTGCCGTCAGGGAGCTGGCATCGTCCTCCTACAGGGGAGGGGGCACGGCATCAGGGGCTGAGGGGAGGCCGAGGACACTGGGCTGGCCCTCCGGGAGCTCCTCAGGGACCCCCGGGTGGGAGGCAGGGGTGGAGCGAGTGCAGGGACGGCTGGGGAAGGCGGCCGGACCTGGTCTGGAAGGAAGGGCCTCTCAGCCTGCCCGGATGCTTGCAGGGCATCGCCCAGGGGCACGCTGGCGGAGAGGCGGCACCCGTTCCCCACTCCTGGGCAGCCCGCGGTCACCTCGTCGGTCCAGGAGTATTTGTCCTTGTGATAGGCCCTGGGGTTGGGCAGCGGCTCGGGCTCCTCCTCCAGCAGCCTTAGCGTAGCCAGCAGCTCATCCAGGGTCGCCCTGGACTGGGCCTTGCCCTTGGCGGGGCCCACCACCGCCAGATCCTCACTGGCCACGTCCTGGGAGCCGGCATCCTGCAGCGGACAGGCAGGAGGGACAACCGCTGAGGCCATTAGAGGCCAAGACCCCCAGAGATCTGTGCAGGCAGGGAGAGGAAGGCCTCCTCTGCACCGGCCCACGGCCACTCAGCCACATGGATCAGGTGCACCCCGACCCACCTCCAGGAAAAGGAGAAGGGTGGCCGGGCCTCCTCGCCCCTCGGCCCGGCGGCTTCGGCCCACACCCTACCTCTGAGCTTCCTGCGCTCTTCTGTGGGCACGGACTTCGGGCCCCACCCCAGGGCATCTGTGAGAGCCCAGACGGATTCCAGGGCAATCGTGAGACACTGCCCCCCGCCCCACCTTAGGGCAACAAGACCCATTCCCGGCAGCCTTTCCCAGTCTGAGTGACCCCACAGCCACGCAGGGGCGGGCTCGGGCCACCCAGGCTGAGGGGGAGGGTGGACAGAAAGGGCTGTATGGACACCTGAGGCTTGTTCTCTGGAAACTGCCGGGGCTCTGGGTAGGAGTTGGAGGCCGGCTGGCAGGGGTCCTCTGTGCCTGCGGAACGGAAGCCAGCTCCTGCACGACAGAGCAGAGCGTTGGTCACGGGGGCATCGCCCCACCTGGGGGCAGCAAATCTGGAGGGGCCCTTGAGAAGAGACCACACGCACGGGAGGGGGAGCACGTGGCAGCGGGGACCACGGCAGACTGCATGCGGAGCAGAGGGAACATTCCGGAACCCTGACCTTCTGGGGTGAAAGGTCAGGGAAACTGGTGCAACCACCCCAGAACCCTCGGCCTCACTGGTCGTTAGGGTCATCGTGTCCAGCTTCAGAACAAGAGGGGCGACGGTGGAGAAGCGGGAGGGGTCTGCACAGCCGAGGCCCCTCCTCCAGGGCGGAAGCAGGCGGAGCCAAGGGACGGCAGCAGAGGCCACGCCTCCTTCCTGGCCACTGCCCTCCCAGAGGGAAGGGGCGGGGCATGGGGCAGGGCCATGACCTTGAGAGTGCCTAGAGCTGGGAGGCAGAGGTGGAGCAGGCCTCTGTCGGGCTCACCCGCGCTGGTGTTATTGGCCTTGTGGGTCCGGTGGGCCCGAGCGGTGCTGCCCGGCCTCAGGGCGGACTCTTGAGCGGGCTGGGGCTTCTCGGTCTCTCGCGCTTCCTTCTGCAGCCCAGGCTCAGGATCGCCTGACTTCTGGGCTCGCTTCTGCTGCTGGAGCTCCTGCCGTGAGGGGCCCCTCTGAGCAGCCTCGCCCAGCACAAGCCGGCTGCCCTGCCCTTCCCGTCCCCCCTCCCCCCACCAAGCTGCCCCGAGGCCCAGCGTCCAGGGGCTGGGGGCAGGAGGGCTCAGGGAAGGCAGCAGGCAGGGGTCCCCCAGGAGCACAGTCTCGCTCTCAGGCACAGGGGGTGTACCCAGCAGTTGTCTGCTGACTCCGCCCTGGGCTTCCTGCTCAGGGCACCCCAGGCACCTGAACGGCCAATCGCCTGGCCTGGCGCGCCTTCTCCTCCCGGACCTTCCTCCTGGCCGCCTCCTTCTGTTGCTGCAGGTCCGGCACGTTCCTGTCTCCCAGCTGCTGCCGCTGTTCCTGTGGAACCACAGCTGGTTTGATGGCGAAGGTGGGGGTGCTCGTCCAGACCTGGGTTTCCACGGGACCACCCCCCCATCCGCCCCCGGTCCCCCAGCCTGCCTCCCTGCGGGTGGCCAGCGGCTCCTTCGAGTGGGGAGACAGCTCTGCATCTCGGAGCAGGGGCCCTGACTCAGGGCAGGGAGGAAGGGAGCCCCCACATGGGGTGTGGGCCCATGGGGCAATTCCACGTTTCAATCCCGCTGGTCCCAGAAACCCCACTGTATGCAGCCGGGTCCCCTGGGATTCCCGCCTGCTTCCTCGGGGCACAGCTCACACACCCCCCGCTGACCTCTCGCTTCGACGCGAGCAGGTGCTCCCGACGGGCGGCTCTGGCCTGGCGCCTCTGCACCTGCTGGCGGTACCAGCGCTGGATGGTGACGGCAGCCCGGTTCACCTGGTGGATAAACCTGCGGGGGCAGGAGGGCGCAGGACTGAGGCAGGGCCCCAGGCAGCCGCCGACCCGGGTGAGCGAGTGACGGCCGCACTCCCCAGGGGAGGTGAAAACGCCCATTCGCAGGCTCTGTGCGCAGTCACCAGAAATAACCCAAAGGCCCAGCGCCGTGCCCGGCACACCCGGCTGTGGGTCTGTGGGTGGGCGCTGCAGTCCTGATGGTGGATGCTATTCACCGACAAAAAGCAACAAACCAGAGACCTGGCCGGGCATGATAGGCCACAGGCTGAGTACTCGGGCCATAGACTATTCTAGAAAAGGCAAAGCCCTAAGGGAACAGATGGGTGTGGCCAGGGTGGGGTCTGGAGCTGGATAAAAGCCCTCCGGGGGTTCTGGGGGTGACGGACGTCCTGTGTCTTGGTGGCTGTACCTGCAGACCACAGAGCTGCATACACGCGCCCAAACTCAGCCAGCAATACATCTAAAACGGGTGCATTTTATCGTACATCAATCACTTTGACTCAGTAAAGCTGAGTAAACTCTAAAAAGCCTTAACCCCGGCTCTAAGGACCCCCTGCCGATTTACTCAGCAAAAGCCCTAACGGAGCATCCAGGACATGGATGGTCGCCGGCTTCGGGACAGGCGCACAGAGGGGCCTGTACGCTGATGCACAGCCAGGCGGGAAGCACCTGGCTGCCAGCTCCTCCCACGCGCCCACCCCCAGCGCCCCGTCCCCAGGCTCCCACGGGACAGCAGCGGTGGCCACCCACCAGGTGTTGGCTCCCACACTCTGACCAGCACAAGGTTCCTGACCGGGAGCGACACCCTGGACCGGGGGCCCCGGCGGAAGGTCCGGCTGCAGCCCACCCTCATTGCCCCCCTGGAGCGAGATTCAGGGGACGGGGCCATAAGGCCATTTGGGGTGTTTTTAGTTTTATGTCTTCCTTCCACGTAATGCTTTCTTAACTAACAGTTTTAGTGACGTACAATTTAGATACCATAAAATCTATCCATTTCAAGTATACGGTTCAGCGATTTTTCATAAATTTACAGGGTCGTACGACTGGCAGTGTGACCCAGATTTAGAGCATTTCTGTCACCCCCGGAAGGACCCCCTTCTGCAGCCACGGGCCCCAGGCAGCTGTGGCTCTATTTCCGCCTTCTCCCGATTTGCCTCTTCCTGACATTTTCTTAAGTGGGAATTTCTATCAGGGGAGCTTCAGGCTCCCTCCCGGCCCCCCGCCCGCGGTCACCTCTCAGCCTCCTCCTCTGTCACCTCCTTCCGTCTGAGCAGACCCGGGGTGGCCCCGGCGTTGTTCTGGGCCACGTGGTTGCTGCTGGAAAAGTTCTTGTGTGGCTTCCCGGAACCGCCGCTCTCCCCCTCACCGGTGGCCGCCTTGAGGATATTGCTAACGGGAAGAGAAAAAGGGGCTCGCTGCGCTGGCCCAGGCCCACTCACGGCCCCGGTGGGCAGCTCTGCCTTCGAGAAGCGGGGCTGCCTCAGCCCCATCCCAGGGCCTTGGGCCTGGAAGGACACACCCACAGGACATCGGGAGTGGGCATGGCCCCCGGTTCCCACACGCTAGTCGATCCCCAGGACCACGTGCCCCCCACACAGGGCCCACGTCGTGGGTTACTGGGCTCTTTCCGTTACAAAAAGCAAAGAGGTCTGGGGCATCTGGGTAGCTCAGGCAGTTAAGCATCCCACTCTCGACTTGGGCTCAGGTCACGATCTCATGGTTCATGAGGTTGAGCCTCGTGTCGGGTTCTGTTGATAGTGTGGAGTCTGCTTGGGATCCTCTCTCTCTCTCTCTCTCTCTCTCTCTGTCTGCTCCTTCCCCCAACCCTGTGCATATGTGCACATGCCCACAAGCACATGCCCACGTGTGTCGCTCTCTCTCAAAATAAATAAACAAAAAAAAAATAATTAAAAAATGAAAAAGTCTCAAAGTCACAAGATCCCAGAGCCAGACGGTGACCCACGACAGCCGACGGGCAATCCCTGACTCCGGGTGTGCCGGTCAGGGGGGTGGGGGTGACGGGTCCGGGCTGCTCTGGCCTCAGCCAGGGGGCCGGAGACTCGGGGAGAGGCTACGGCTTCCTCGGCAGGGACCCCCTCGCCGGGGGTGATCTCCCACCCAGGTCTGGTGTCTCTCTGCCCTGGTGCTCCCGGCTGGCAAGGGCCGCAGCTCCAGGGGCGCCCAGGGTCCCGCCGCGCATCAGCTCCCAGACCTGCCCCAGGCCAGAGCCCGCCTTACTTGAGGGAGGGAGCCGTGTGGTTGGAGCTCTTGGGCGGCGGCGCCTTCTCCGAGGGGCTGTAGCGGTTGTGCAGCATGGTGGTGACGCGGTTGCCCACAGCAGCCTTGTTGCTCCTGCCGGAAGACACGGGTGGCGTCAGGCTCCAGGAGGCGGCACAGCCCGAGTCGTCTCACCGCGGCACCGTCCAGGCGTCCCTGGGGCCCCACCGCGGCCACCACACCGACAGTAGGGGCCTTCTCGGGACCCGGGACAGCTCCACCCAGGGACTCCCAAGGAGCAGGCCCCGAGGTGTCTGCAAACAGCAGAGACCTGCTGCAGGGAGAAGGTCAGGCCATCCGTCAACAGGGAATGGGCGTCTCTGTGCCCGGGAAACACGAGGGGAGGCAGACACCGCTCTCTCCCCGCCCCTCTCTCACCCACCGGAAGGAACACGCACGGTATAAACACACAGGGACCAAGGGAATGCGGGAGGAGGCTGCCGCGAAGACACGACTGCTAAGTTTTAGCAGGATGAGGAAGGGCCAGTGGTAAGTGACACATGGAGGGACGGGGGAGAGGCCCCGAAGCGGCTGGTCTGCCCCCCTGGAGCCCCAGGCATGAGCCGGAAGTGGGGGTGCCTGGCTCTTCCAAAGGAACGCTGCACCCCAGATCCCTCCTGCACCCTCGCACCCAGGCACCAAGCCCACCCTGCGCTCCAGACAACAGGCTGGCCTTGCAGGAGAAGCAAGGTCTGTGCACTGAGCAGGACACCGCCATGCCCTCTCCCACTGGGCCCACAGCAGCGGCGGGCAGGTACCTAACCCCGAGGCAGGCGACCAGAGAACCGCCCCCCCCCG